AGATATATTGGAAGCTATATAAGGATTAAATAAAGACAGACTCGTTGGCAACAAAAACGACGGAAAGTTTTTTTAGAAATAGTGTGTATTGTGAAATGATCGAGAACGAAATGTCATCACCTGGTCCAAATAATATGTCCATCCCTACAAGTACCTGTGGTTTAACTGACTTAAATATTTTGTCTTCTGTGTCTAGAACCTTGACTGTCACGAATATATTATTCTTCTCGTCAAAGATAAATAGGTTAAGACAAATAGTTTATGTGTAGGCTACATAGCAACACAGAGACCTACTGGTTCGTCTGTCACGGACACCAAATGATCGAGTTATAGCAGAACACCAACTGAAATGAGCAGTTGTAGCATAATTTAGTTTTCTAGAGCAACTAAACACCTGTCCACAACATTATTTTACACAACTTCGTCTTCTGAAATACCTTTATATAGAATTTGTTTTAGCTAATGACGACTGTGAGGCATGAGGTAGTGTATGCTTACTCATTCTAGAACACCTAATACTACGCTTCATGTGAGATATTTCACAATCTTAGCATTATTAAATTCGACAATAATTCCATCCTTAGTATTTTGGCTGTGAAGACATTCATTCGTGTTTAACTTAATTAAAGACTAATTGTTAATTTGTAACCCACCGAACATTGATGGTTATAATTTCTGGCAATTATTTTTTTAAAATAGATGCCTAACGTAAAACGCAATGACTTTATGAATAGTATTATTGACAAAATAAGCCTCCTTGATTACCGCTATTAACTATTTTTAGCGCCAACTTACAAGAATGTTACAAGTCGCTAAGTTTTATGACCTCCGTGTGATTGAACAATTATTGCTTGAAGACTAGCGATAAATTCCTTTCAAGACGAAATGGGAAAATATCATTGATTTATCGTCATCCACTGATGCTATGTCTAACCAAGGTGGTTCCAAGGACTCCCTTTCCTGGAATAAAACAAGAGAAAATCTCTAAAGAAACTAAATCTGTCGATTGACCAACACCGCTAATTGTCAATTGAATAAAATGTCAGAGATGCCCTGTTATGTATTGACCACGTAATTATACCATGGTTCTGGATCTATTATTGATAATGACGATTGCTGTCTGTATTTATTATAGTTAATTAAAGTCTATATATAACATACCCCATATTAATAGCGTTGTTTATAGGCCATCTTAATTGAAACATCGATGTGCCACATAGTTTCGCTATTACACTTTCTACAACGTAGAGCAACAAGGAATACACATGATACATAACGAACAATCAAGCACACTTATTGCCTTAATAACTACATAATCCAGACACCTCTCTTGTCTTTATTAGCCCAGTCGGAGCAGAACAGTAGGACGTTAAATCCCATTTCATTCATTTCCAGACACATCCATCTATCTCCAACCATCCTATATTATCCATTACAGTTGGAGGCACCCAACCTGGGTAGGGAAGTTTTCGTAATGCAAACATTACATAAGTACGATAATTGCACTTCAAGACCCAATGTCGTATTGAGCAGAACGGTTTATGTAAAATAATTACAACCGTTTATGTCATTAAGTGACTGGGTGATCCTATCCCTGGCCCTAACATTCGCGAATGTCATTGGTCCAAAACCTGGACGGTTGTGGGGAGTATAATATAAGTTGCAATGACGAAATTAGAAAACGAACTAATGAAAGTAGAAGCAATTAGAATAGAATTAATACATCATCATATCTTCATCCAAATGCTCTTGTCAATCAACATATTCAAACTTCATAAAGTAGGATTTACTCTTATCTCGAGTCACCCCGGTCGTTTTTCTGTTAAATTCAAGCATGGTAGGGTTTTTGATACTGTTATAATTTTCTTGCACTTTCGTGAAAAATCGATAGGTTGAGATAAATGCTTTAGTCAATTATTGGCAAGTTGGCCAAAAGTGATTAGAATCTATTCATTGAGGAGTTTCAATATTGCGACGACGCTCTTACATTGTGGATTTGAAAAATGACTAAGTGTGTTTTTTTTTAGCTGATTGGCTCTACATCCGACACCCGGACACCGTCGACAAATTTAGAATTGTTTGAATGGAAAATAGACTACGGTTGAGAAACATTCGACCTCCTTGGCTGTCGCTCCGTGGAGAAATAACCTATCAGTTGAGAACCCTAAAATAGTAACAATTAAATGAAAATACGACGTGCTTTTAACAATACGCTGTTGTAATACCTAGATCGAATTTGTTTCCGAATAATAAATCCATTCGTAGACGAGAAAGGTAAATAGATGGAATCAATATTCGTTTCTGCCTTGGTGTGTTAATTTGACCAATAAACAAACTTGTATCTGGGTAAAGATTGAAATACTATAGACTCATAAAGTGTGTGTGTGAAGCTGTGAATTAAATATAATATTTCTTATACGTGATTGACAAACACAAAGCGTAGACTAACAAATCTTAATTTTTTTAAAGCTCATGGTTCGTGGTGTCAGATTTATAACAATTTTAACCGAGGTCTTTGGCTGCCTTTGTAAGACACCGATTTAAGAAGGAAGGGGTCGTGGTCTCACTGTTGACGATCGAAAAATAATATGTATGCGTGTAATAAAATTTTTAATAAAATTGTTAAAGGGAGAAAACACCTAAACCCACACCCGCCTCGATCCACAATGCATAAAAAATTATTTTATTAACTGCTAAGATTGGGAAATGTGCAAAACGTCTATATAAGCCTACTGTTGAATTTCATTTGCATATTTCGGTGATGTGTACCATTTTCCATGACCAGTTGTTTGTATAAATACTTTTTACTAAAAAACAAAGGTTGTGTGAAGGTGGATATTATTTTGGTAACTTAACAGGAGACGCTTTTCTGATTCAAAATGTCTGGGCGTAATTGATTCGTTGTAATAGTCTTTAATCTGTGCTCCTTGCAAAGATTCTAAACAATGAAATCGGATAGCCTTCTTAAGCTCGTTCGATTTTTTATTTAAAGATATGGAAGGAAAGGTTACGACAAACTCTCTGCACAATTCTGATATAGATTAAACGAGTCCTTTAGAAAAGCTCTTGAGGATAATTCTACAACCTCTTGGCATTTTGCCAGCTTATTTTTAGCCAGCATTATCTGGAATTGTCAATATTTCCATTAATCTTTGACTTTGGTAACAGTGATGACGACTTCACGTCCGCCATTATTGACCACGTGATGCATGTACACACGATACAGTGGAGTGGAAATCGGTAAGCTCGTCTGAATTGAAGCTAATTCAGGTTTGCATGTCAATATAGTTTCTTTCAGTTACCCATTTTACCATTGCGCTTTAAAAAGGAGTTCATCATAATTCGAGTAGCTTTAGGCGAAAATTTCGTACTTAGTTTTGGTTGAAACATGTAATTTTCTCAATTCAACTCTTTAATACACGCCTGTGAAGTGTTAAGAAAAAAAATGGTCAACTACATTTTAAGTCATAAACTGATTTTCACTGCAATAACTAGATAAATATAGTCTGTTGCAAGTAAGGAAATTGCTTGCCCGATGTTAGCACGAAAATCTATAATTCAATTTTCTAAATAACTGAGAACAAAATCTGATTTTAACTCAAGCACGAATCTATATTCATTTAAAAATTCAATGTCTCAAAAGTTAGCATGTTTTAGCCGATCAGACGGTCTTAAACATTTTGAATTGAAATATTGAATCAAACTCGAGACAAATTTAATAATGCCTGGTGCTCGTTTTCCAAACGTAAGGGTTAAACTGAAGTGGGCTAACAATTATTACGTAAGAATGATATAGGTCGAAAGCAACACGTACAAGTGATCGTAATAACACGTAAATACAAAACTGTGTAGAAAAAAAGATCATTTACTGTAATAAAAAGGTAATGTGCAGTAGTATAGTGAAAACACGCACAATATAGCAGGACATGATTATGTATAAAGAGAACATACGCCATATACAAAGACATAATTATCTATCATAATGAGAGGTTAATATCTATCATTATCAGAACATGAATCAGGTAAAAAGGATATTTAATTTCTTTATAAAGATCCGAATATGCGTCAAGAACACCCGACCTCATTAGGAATAAAAATTCAAATGATTGAACAAGAGAACGTGCATCATTACCATTAAGTGAACATAATGTGTTAGTATAAAAATAGCATAACAGTGTGTACATCAAAAAGTAAATCTGTTTCATTATAAAGAGAACATAGCGCATATCATTATAAACAGAAATGAAATGGGATTTAACGCCCTACTGTTCTGCTCCTGCTGGGCTAATGAAGACGGGCATACGCCATACAGTGTGCTATGATGGAAATTTTGCCCGGGCAGCGGCACTATCGCCTACTCTTATATCGAATTCCAACTGCCAAGGGATCTTTTACGTGCATTACAATGTATACACAGGACCTAGGTTTTTCGTCTCATCCGAAGGACTAGACAGCTGTCCTTGTCAGGCCCTCCGTTATGCATCAATGACAAGGGGAACCACGCCGGACAATCTGGATGAACTTTCTCGACCAATGCAGGGATCGAGCCAGCGTCTTACCCACTTAGTATTATAAACAGAACATGCCACATAATATACGCACCATTATAAAATGCACGAACACACGTCATGTAAAAGAGAACACGCATTGTTGTACAATAAAGAACTGCACATCATTTAAACAGAACCTTATGGTCCCTATGTATTTCAAATGGAGTATAGGTCCTATAAACAGTGAACATGATTATAAAGAAAAATGCTATATTATAAAGGGAACATGCTTTGTTATAGAGAGAATAAGTTATTAGGAAGAGCGCAAACATTATGTAAACAAAACACGGTCGCCACCATAAAATAAAACGACCAGTGCATGGAAACGCATAGAGTGTAACCAATCATGTGCTTCTAGTATTGTACACAGAACTAAAACATTACGTAAATAAACTGAACGTTTCTCAATTTTGCATTAAATTTAATCTCTTTTTTTTTTGTATTTTTCAGCTAAATTAGACGGTGTTAAAACTTATATGAATTTGAGACGGGTACCTTTAAAACTTCAAGATCGTGTGATTAAATGGTTTGATTATTTGTGGATGTGTAATAAATCTAGTGACGAAGATCGCGCTTTAGGATTACTACCTGATAAATTGAAAGCTGAAATTGCCATTCATGTTCATTTAGACACCTTAAAACGTGTGGAAATTTTCCAACAAACAGAAGCTGGCTTTTTGTGTGAATTAGTGCTAAGGCTACGACCCGTGTTATTCTCTCCTGGGGATTATATTTGTAGGAAAGGTAAGTACATTTCCATTTGGAATACAAAAATTGATTACATATAATTGGTATTTATTACTTAGAAGAATCGCCTGTTCAACCTCGTGTGTTTTCTGGGTCCTCTGGTTTACTTCCGCAGCGATAGATCACTAAGCGCAAGAGAATTATTGAAATAAATTGAACCATTATGTTGGTCACGCCCACTTCTCACTCATTTACTACTTCTGAACCTCATTTAAGAATATAACACTGTACACTAGTGTTACAGAGAATCAAGAATTAACCATATACAATTTACAATGCGGAACAACAAGTCAAGATGCCAAAATAAATTAACAATGGCGATTAAGAGCAGATATCAAATGAAATGGAACTATAAACTGGGTTGTTCACAATGCAACCCACATTCATTGTGATTTTTATTTATCCCATTTATAATCTGGTGGACTATTTTAAAGGGACAATATCACTCTTGCTGGCTTGACAGCTCCAGAAAATAAAAAAATAGCCCTATTCTAAGTACTAGATGTGTTAGTGTCCTACCTGTTGTGTAAATTATCCATTAAATCCTATTTTACTTGTCCAGAGGGTTCAAAAATATTTTTAAATCCAAGTCACATTTGAAAAGCTTTACGTCAGGCTTTTCAAATCATTTAGTTGAATTTTTCCAATCTTTTAAATTAGGTGTGTTAAGATGAAATTTGTATCATCAATTAATTGGAAAATTGTAAAATAGTACAATTTGTTGACCAGAATAAAGATTGGTGGGACATATTATTCAGTTACAACAAGAGTGGTATTGAGCCTTTAACAATTTTCTGAGATTCAGACTCGTGGGGTTGGGTGTGTATACTGTCTCTTTAATAATGAAACAAAGATGGATGATGATGATGTAACGATGTCAATAAATAATGATGAATAATGGTTGCGAATTTTATACTAAGCCTGTTCGACGTATACTACGATCGGCTTAGCTTAAAGAATCGGGCTGTCCTGATTTAATTTGCGTTTTAGCTTGTTCCAGACAACACATTCTTCCCATTTGAGAAGATTGCATGGTGACATGAAATCTAACCAATCAAATTTCGATTGCGCAATCCAATAATCAAACGTTCATTCTGACCCGTGAGAGTTCCTATATAGCTACTCACTCATAGGTCGGATACGTGTGTAAGGCATCTTCATTTTTGGGAAAAAAGATGGTTGAATGGAATTTATTGAGTAAACAAAAGTGAAAACACCAAGTCATTTAAATTACCGAGTTCAAATTGCCAACCGCGCATTTTTTTTGTGATAAAATAAATGAATGCAACCGATTTTGTTTTGGATTGTATACCCAATCGTCAAAGATGACGTAAATTTATTAGCGCGATAAGGATATGGAACCAATGCCAAATTATTTACACTTATTAACAAAGACAATCCAAAAGAACTGATTTAGTAGCGGGTATGATTTCTATATAGAAGTCCTTATTATCTACCTGAATGTGCATGTCAGTAAAGGTTATATTGTAATAGAAATGAAATGAAATGGGGTTTAACACCCTACTGTTCTGCTCCTAAACTGGGCTAATGAAGACGGGCATACGCCATACAGTGTGCTATGAGGGAAATTTTGCCCGGGCAGCGGCGCTACGACCTACTCTTATATCGAATTCCAACTGCCAAAGGATCTTTTACGTGCACTCCAATATGTACACGGGACCTTGGTTTTTCGTCCCATCCGAACGACTAGAAAGCTGTCCTTGTCAGGCCCTCCGTCCTGCATCACTGACAAGGGGGAACCACGCCGGAAAATCTGGATGAACTTTCTCGGCCAATGCAGGGATCCAACACCCGACCTCCAGGCTAGCGAGTATATTGTAATAGAAGTCTATCAGGTTTGCCCGGGCAGCGGCGCTACGACCTACTCTTATATCGAATTCCTACTGCCAAGGGATCTTTTACGTGCACTCCAATATGTACACGGGACCTTGGTTTTTCGTCCCATCCGAACGACTAGACAGCTGTCCTTGTCAGGCCCTCTGTCCTGCATCACTGACAAGGGGAAACCACGCCGGAAAATCTGGATGAACTTTCTCGGCCAATGCAGGGATCGAACACCCGACCTCCAGGCTAGCGAGTATATTGTAATAGAAGTCTATCAGGCAGCTTAAGACCGATGTCGTGCTCCCACCCCATCCACCCGCCCATCTCTTCCTCGTGGCATTTCGAACATATGCATATAAAAGAGATAATTTGTTTACGTTTATCTTTTTTCGTTTAAGAAAACCAAACTGTTGATTTTAGTGATTTTAATATAACATCATAATAACCAGTTGGTTTTTTATTCAGCAACTGGTTCAGTACACGCTCTTCAAAACATTTCCTTGTTATTTTTTTTAGACAAATGAGCATCGATTAGCCAACTTCGATTCTTGTCACAATTCCAAGATGGCGTCGACGCTCGTACCTGGCTTATCTTATCACTAACAGAAAGCAAGCCCTCTTCGCACTGGCTTGAATCGCAAGGCCATGTCAATATGTGACGCGTCTGTGATGTCAACCAATTTCCTCAACCCAGTCTAAAACAAGACATAACCGATCAAATCAGCTTTAGCTGCTTGAATGACATTCATGATATTGTTTTGGTATATTATTCCCGTGTTTCATTCAAATTAGCTCTAGAGGACAACTCTATTTAGTGACGTCGCAATGCGGATGCATTTAGGGTTTTATAAAACTACTGTTCATTGCTGACGTGGGTTGTGGAGTAGTCCAGCGGTATAAGGGAAATGGACTCTCAACTAAAATGACCCGGCTTTACATTCTGTCGTACGTCGATAAGAATCCTTCGGAATCTTTCAAGCCGGGTTTCACTTGTGGGGCTGACAAGCCATAACTGTCCAGTCCTTCGGTTGGTATGCTAACCCAAGTACACATTGGTGTGCACGTAAAAGAAGAGTAGGCGTTAACACGATTATCAGGGCAAATACGTCTATTGCATGTGTAGCCATGTGTGTCTCAAAACGTGTCTCCGCTTTTGCTCAGATTGTGGCACTGGCTTTCACGAAATACGTTATTATTATTAGTGTAGTACTAGGCGTAACATCAAATGACATAATAAAGAAACTTAAAATGTTGTATAAATGTTTATGAAACATCAGTTGTGAATAAAAGTTGCTAAATTCACTTTGAAATCTGAACCAGCACTTTAACAACTAATAGACTGAGGTCATCGCTACATTAGGTAATAACATAACCTTTAGTTTTCTTATAGGATTGGAGACAAAATATGTCCAATTTGTCTGCATTTGCCCAGCCTAATGTAAAATCTTATCTCGTCTTAACTTTGTAAACTAAGATTCATTCTTCAGAAATCGGCTGTCTCCGGTTAACATAGTTTGATAATCAAGTATATAGAAGTTTCTGTCGAATTAGTCTGCTTTAAATATAAATTTATTCAAAGTATGTTAAAATATCACAAACCTACGCAAGTTCATTTACACGGAATTTGAAGAGAGGTGTACAGTAAATGTTCAAGTTCGTGTGCGTAAGTCTTCAGTTAGTGTCGCTCACCCAGACCCCCCTAGTCTTTTTTAAAAACGAGATCAATGGCCTCTTACATAGATATCTACTGAATCAAGATGTCTCTTCAGGCAACAGAGGCTAATATTCAGAATACGAGTGATTGGGCTGTCAGTTTTATCAGTAGTCCAACAGACACTGATTGTGAATTATGTATATGCCAATATAAAACTCTCCTGCTAATGCGACAGCCATTTCTCTCTAGAGCATGGCTTCATACCCACAACCGGTATAGATCTGTTTTATTTTCTCCATTATTGAATTTAGTGTTAAATTCCTGGTAACAATCTTGAAATGGGGCCGGGTTACTAGAATTTTGTGATTTTTGACCGTCAGCTTAGGTGGGAAATTTTTCCATGCCATGTCTTTTTATTCTTCCACCTTTAAATCTTGATTTTTTTTTTATCGAAATTGGTTTAGATATCATTTATTTCGAAATAAAATGAAATATAGACAAAATATTATAAAACCTTATTAATACATAAATAATCCTTATTAAATCGAAATTCAAAACTCATGAACAATTCTGCAGAAAAGCAGAACAAAATAAGATCATCATTACTAAAGTCGGTACGATAAAAAAAAAACATAGTCTCGATTATCTATTTTTGTTTTTAATCAGAAGCAGCAGACCGGGTTCTAATCCAGTAAATATCGAAGGCTGCCGATGCCATCGTGAGTTGATTATGGTCTGGATAAGTTAATTAATGTCTAATTAATAATTTAGATAACATTTCAGGTATAAAGAAAGACCTGCAATTGGCAGATTTAGCTCTTGCATAATGTATGTTTAATTAGATTGAACTGAAAAACCATTCTAATGCTGATCAACCATATCGGTTGCTTGGAAAATTGTCTTTTGTTATCTTTGCTAAGCTGGTGTATACTATTCAAACTATTATAGTGGTTTGTTTTTCCTGTGCTATCCATCATCTGTCGATTTTCTTATATTGTAGTGTGTCATGGGATTATTCGTGTAGGTTGTAACACACGTCTTCTGATGTGATGTATAAAAAAAAACAATGGCTTAGAGTTCAGAAAGATTTGTCAATCGCTACAGGGGATCATGAAATAACTTGGCTGATTATTTTGGTTGCCCATAAGTGTCAATATCCCAGTCAACATTGATGGTTAGATTTACGTAAAGTTTACGTCATTATGGTTAGATTATGGTTAGCGTCCAATAATGGTAAAATTCTTTGGTTAAATTTACGTTACTTTTACGTCATAATGGTTATGGTTACTTTTACGTCAGAAAATGACGTAAATGTAACGTAAACTTTATGACGGATTACTAACCAATTTTTTTCCCTTTGAATACTTCTTGATTAAATAACATTACAAGTGTGTGCACATTCTAACAATTGATATATAGTCGGAATTCAGACATAATAATTATATATGTATTATTGGTTATAATTCTAACGTTAATCTAACGTAAATTTTACATCAGG